CATGAAGGTCTAGTCAGAGACATATTAGAGGCAGAAACAGGAGTTAGGAGGGGTAGAGGTAGACCTAGATTAGATTACTGTTCGCAAATAGTTAAGGATGTGGGTTGTTCTGGTTTTAGGGAAATGCGAAGTTTAGCTCAGGATAGGAAAGAGTGGAGGTACGTGTCCAATCAGTCTTAGGACTGACGACCTTATGATGATGATGAATATGTTTTGTAACGCTAAAATGAATATAAATCACAATCCTGTCTTACATATCTTAACAAATTCAAAAGTTCTTCAATAATTCAGGAAAATAGTGTGTTCCATGTATTACATGAAAAAATATAGAAAACCCTTTATTTGGTCCTTATTACCAATGCAAGAAAATGCCCACATTAGAAGTGGAATCATGTGTCACACTAGGTATATTTAATTTCAGGGAAAACGAAATAAATTTGAGAACCTTTGGTTTAAAATGAAATTAAGCTACTTTCCTCAAGCAGGTTGGACGTTTACAAGACAACCATTAAGATTAATATAGTAACACTTCATGTATCCTCAGATTCGTCCTGATCCTAATATAAATATGAATGTGTTTGTGTTTGTTTGTTACGTTTTCACCCCTTAATTATTCAACCGATCGTCATGAAATTTTGTACAAAAATTATTAAAGGTACAGAAAAAGATATAGGGATATAATATTATTCCTGAGAGACAGAAAAATTAGTTTTATGTTATCGTCGATATTCTTTGACACGTATCTAAGACATCAAGGCGAGCGAAGCTGCGGGTAAAATCTAGTAATTTATAAGCATAAGCTTTAGCGTTAAAACAATACCTTTTTACCATGCCCTTACCGAAAGTGTGGACTAAGAGCACTGTTGCATGTGAATAGATATTAACTCAATATTTTATCTGTGTTGAAGTCGATTAAAAAAAAAATGTTTTTCCTAAGTACCTTTTATCATATTTGTCGATTTCTCTTATTTTAGGAATGTTATCTTTGTTCCGTGTGCTACCTAAAAACATCGACGTATCTGTTTATTTACCATTTCAACAGATTTATTTTTAAATAAATTACGATAGGCTGAAGGTATCATGGTTAATTAAGTGTTTTTCAATATATTTTCCATGATACAGATACAATATATTACATATATCTTTTTGTATATCTATTTTGCGATTAGATAAAATATTGCCACTCCGCCAGTTGACGATTTGATCGGTTGAACAATGTAAGTAAGTGCAGATGAGTGTGTGAATACAATGAAAAAATTAAAAATTATAAATTTAATTTTCGTAATTACTGCGAATTTATTTCGACTAGTCGTTGCACAAAATACTGGTAAGTTTTTGAAACAAGTGAAAATATGTGAATGGAGTGATTACAACATCGATCGTTTATTCAAGGTGGCTGTTTCTTGGATGGCGTTACAAATTCCCAATGGATTTCGTATTATACGAATGATGCGGTATTTGATACAGAAAGAACTTTATTCAAAAGTTTCACTTTCACGAACGTAACAGGTCTGTCTAATATTATTTACATTCTTTTTTTAATCAATGTTGGCATTTATCTATAGCTTGTATTGTATTGGTCAGTATTTTAATCCTTTTTGGCAGGATTTAATCCAAGTCCGACTAGGTAACTAACAAACTAGTTAACGTAATCTGTAATCTAACCAGTATAAGAAATTAATATATTAACCAATTAGTTTATGAACTGACTGTTTAATATTTTATTTATGCTGGATCCGTTTAGTTTTTTCTATTGACTATTTACTATTTTATTCTGACTGTTTGGCATTTTTATATTGATTAATCGTTTTACTAATTAAATACTTACCTTTAATTGATTTATATACTAATGGAAAATGGATTACCATTTAACGTCTTGTTTTTATCTATTACGTTTCATAAATATAATTCTTCTATAAAATGTGATTCACACTTACAATAAACATAATCAGATAAAAAACATCAAAGTGATACACGATTAGTGAAGAATTTACTATGATGTTTAAAATACGGTTTCCTTTCTAAAAACCTTTTCAATCATTTTGTGTATATATTATATTGTGGATTAGCTTCTAGTAATTTTCAAATCAAAAAATATCCAAAGTTAACTTTAGGTTCTTCCCTGTTGTTTTTTATCTTTATTGTTTCCGATAATTCTGTCAAAATTGATCCAATTTAAAAAGAAATTTGTCACTTAATCTTTATTAATTTATGGCAACAAAACATGTATGCGCTTTGTTGCAAGGTTATGCATACAATTGGTACTAATTATTTTAGTAACAAAACAAGTACCTGTCCGTATTTGCTAAAAGAAAATATTTAAAACAAGAAACAGTTATGTAGGTATGTGTTAGTTAATACAAAATAAACTTAAGTTAATTAAAAATTAGCTTCCCTAAAAACAAAACTGCCTGTCTATGATTATGTGGTTCTTAATTTCTATGTTTAGAAAAAGGACAGTATGCTACTATTAGTTTCTTAAAATTTTAGGAGTAAGGGTAGCTTCAACATCTTCAGTTTATGCAGCTGCTTCTTTAAATGACAGTCATTTATTAATAACACCCACTTCGCTTTTTGAACAATTCGAAGAAAATGAGCCTAGTAGTTCTGAAACCCCGCTACTGATAATAATATTGTTATTCACTTGTACGGGCGGATCTTCTCAATTAGTAAGTAAAAGATATAATTTATTTGTTTTTCTGCTAAGAATTAAAAATTAATTCATGAAACTTTTAATGGTATGTAATCTAATCTATCAATCGGCAATTGGATTTTGCTACCGATTTGTCAAGAAAGAAGTGATAAACATACTGATTAAGTGCTACTTGCTAGTAACATTTTACAGTCAAAGTCAGTCCTTAATTCAAATTGTTATTTTATAAATTTTAAATATGAAAGAATATGTAATTATGAATGAACGAACGAAGACAAATAATTTACTTATAGTTTTGATGTAGTACATGTTCTACAAGTCAATTATCCATAGAACCACTAGTGCATTTTAAGTTTAACGAACGCTTTTGAGCAAACCGCGAAATACGTGTAAATCAGAGCAATCTTAACTTACGATGACAATTATTTGTTTCTTTTTTAATAATAATCACTTCTTTTTCTTCACCTTATCCTGAAGGTTACGTTATGATAAGTTTAGGTTGTTTTGATTTATATTGAAACGTATTTCGGAGTTAGCCGAAAAGTGTTGTTCAACTTATGCAAGAGGATAGAGAAATTGTATGTTTACATTTCGGTTTTATTATTCACAATATTTTATTTCTGTGTAAGGTCCCTATAATGTCAAAAGCTTCCAAGAGGGAATGTATTCGGTTTTTTGGAATATTTGAATTGAAGCTTTTAATATTATTAATATCAAAGTCAAGCTTACGCTAATAATACAAAGTTCAGCTGTTACATTACTTAAAAAAGCTTTTTGGATTTTACAACGGCATATCTTTCAGTCTCGCAGGGTAATCATGAAACGTCTATCTGTACATTTTTTTGGTATAAAAGTCAAAAACCTGTCATCCGCTGGTAAATCTGAACATTGCATTAACTTAAACTACGTTTTTGTCATATATTATTCCAAAAGGTCAAAAAAATTTCCTTCTGGAGAACTTTGAAGAGCTTTACATAAAAAGTAAAAATTTATGTAGTACTCACTAAGCTTAAGAGATTAGTAATATTTTGTATTTAGTTTAGTGAACGGCCACATATGCCGAAAATTTCTGGAATATTAAAAAAAAATCTGAGAATACTACATATTTTTTCATATTCTTTCCTTTGGTTCAAAAGGCAGTGTCATAAAAGTTCTACCGTCAATACTTTAAATTATGCACCATATAGAATTACTTTTTCTAGACATTCAGACAACCTATAACAGACATTAACAATCATGATCCTATTTTTTCGTCATCTGCCTATACTTACTCACTACCAATGCCATTTCCCTCTGGCATAACCGTAAGTGGTGTTTTTGGCGATTCAATAACGGCGACAGATATTGACATTACAAATGTAGCCGTCGATTTTACTATCCAACCTGAGGGAGACTTTATCATACAGTACGGAGGAGCAACTGATAGCACAAATAAGAGACACACTGCACTATTAAGAACTGCAACTTCATTACGGTTAACTTCAACTACTTCTTACACTTTAATTGTCACAGTAAGTGAGTTTTTAGTAATATCAAACGCTTTTATTTTTTTGATCTTATTAATTATTATTTAATGAAAATCTGATTTGCATAAACTCTTGTGATTGTCTCTAATTTTAATATTTTCAAAGTAAGTATCATCCCGAGATAAAAATGTTCAGTCTCTCAGAGCTTCTGAAAGCGAAATTCGAGTCTCCGTCTCTCATCGAG